ATACATTTTTGTTCAATTGATGTCAAATCCACACATTTTTAACTATGTCTCTGGGAGTCTGGGACATCTCATTATCTTACAAAAGCAGAGCTTAATTACCTGGTGGCAAATCTCACACACAGTGTCACCTTTCTCATTGCACCACCTTTGCACACATGCCCTATGTGCGTACTGAAACCGCCCAAAACAAATACAAGCAAATTAAGAATGATCGAATTCAGAATTATATATATATATATATATATATATATATATATATATATATATATATCAATTGATTATTTTATAGCTGCTTGAAAAATCAGATCCTTATGAAAGCTAATTAAGTACTCAGAGATAAAGTAGTAGTCCAAATCTTCTCCTACTTGAATACATTAAAACAGTAGACTATGATAAGTTGGTGTTAGGATCAAAAGCTATTTTTAATAGCGAATGCACAACTTTATTTTTTTTATATCACCACATATTTTCAAGAGTCAGGGTGTTGGACTTGATCTTTTATCCGCCTCCGTCCAATAATCCATGACTAGTCACGTGGTGTTGGAGTTGGCCCTTAGTGGCCTCGGTCCAACAGTTGGGGATAATAAATTGAACATGCTTATGAAAGGTTCATAGAGTACATGATATAGTCGGGTGAAATTGAAAATTTTGGATTTTATTAAAAAAATAAAAATGAAAAGAAGCCCACAAACCTTCAAGGTACCACGGCAAGAGCAAGGAGTCTCCATACTCGAATCCAAATCTTCATCATGGCATATCCTGCAGTTTTCGATTCCTTGGAGAAAGCAGAAAGATCAGGGTAAAATTAAAGGAAATGTTTGATCACCATGCCCTTAATTAGGTGTACTGATGAAAAACAATAAACAATATCCAATATTTTGGGTCAAAGATTAACATAATTTATATCAAAATTTGCAATCTTCTTTAATAAAATTAAAGAAGGAAAAATCACACTTATTTTTAATTATTTTCAATTTTAAAATGTGCTAGTCCTTTGAAAAGTTATTATTATTATTATTATTATTATTATTATTATTTTTGTACACTATATGCTTATTTTTAGTTTATTATAAGTTCACTTTTAATTAAGAAACTTAATAATTAAGTATTGGTTCATTTGTGCAAGTTATATTACGTATATTTTAATTTTTAGAAGTGATATGTACAATTATGTGCATCTATATATAGGATGATAATGTATAAGGGGTGGGTCTGGGATAATTACATTCACATCCAACTCACCTTTATACTTCCTCCACTTATCTCTACTCTTAACTCATAATGGGTGAATTTTTTTAAAATCCACCCTTAATGAATCTCAATACATAGGCCTTATTATCTTATTAAAAAATTTGATAAATTAATAATAATATTTAAATTATTTATCCATAATAAAATAACAAATTTTGTTGAGATATGGTGAAAAGTTGCACGTTGAGAAACTTTTCTTCTGAGGGACATCAATATACTTGGGCTAAGTCTCGAAAAACCTTGGATTACATAGAAAGAAGAATGCTACATGCAAATATATATATATATATATATATATATATATATATATATATATATATGGAAGGGATCAGGTGCATTTGTTGCTTCCCGTGCGGATGTGCGGTGGATTAATGTGCGTGAGGTTTATACTTAATGTGCGTGAGATTTGTACTCAATGTGCCTGAGATTTGTACTTAATGTGCGTCATGGATATTTAGTTCATTCATTGTGGATTTTTACTTCATTCATTCACTGTGGATATATAGTTATGAATTTGTGGATATATAGTTATGAATTTCTGGATATATAAAAATGCTATTGCCGGGAATCGAACCTGATTTCTTCTTTAAGTGGGACGCGCGTTTTTTTAACCAAAACGGCGCCGTTTTGCAACCGTATGCACCTTGCAAGCTGCATTCGGTTGCACAGCATAATTTGCGAGGCTCAGGTTTGAGGGTAAAAAATATCAAAATAAAAAATAATTATAAATTCGTATACAAACTCTGGGAAATTATGTTGTGCAATCGTGGTGCATACGGAATTGGATCCATAATGTCTATACTATAGATCCATAATTTCTATACTATAGATTCATAATTTTTATACTATAAATTCATAATTATTGAACTCTATACTCACAAAACTCTATGTTCATAATTTTCAATGTTCACATTCCCAATTGTTGAAATTTGTATTCACAAATCACTGAACTATATGTTCATAATTTGATAACTATACTGTTTAAAAATTATGAATCTATAGTATAGAAATTATGAATTTATATATAGTATAGAAATTATGGATCTATAGTATAGAAATTATGGATCTATAGTATAAAAATTATGGATCCAATTATGTGTGCACCTTGCATAGTGCACACGGTTGCACAGCGTAACGATCCACAGACTTAAACCTGGGCTTAGGCCTTAGGTTTCTCAATAGTTATATAGTGTACCATGATCCACAGTGCTATGTGAACCATGGTCGTCAAACGAAACTGTAGAAGAATAAAATGATAATTTAGTGTTGCTATAATGAAACTAGTTTGTGTGGAAAATGAAACTAAAACACAAAGCTCATTCAACAACGTAATTGTCAAATGAAGCTGTAATATAATTAAAATGATACTTTTGTGTTGTTATAATGAAACTAGTGTATATTAAAAATGAAACTAAAATCTAGAGTCATACAATAAAATATATTGTCAAATGAACCTAGAGTGCAATTAAAATAATACTTTAATATTACTATAATTAAATTAGTGTGAGTGAAAAATGAAACTACAAAATAGATCTAGCTCATGCAATAATTTATATTGTCAAATGAATTGTAGTAGAATTAAAATGATACTTTTGTATGACTATAATGAAACTAGTGTGTATGGAAAATGAAACTGAAAAACAGAGCAATATTGTGATTTTCAAATGAAATTGAAGTGTAAGTAGAATGATACTTACTTCATGGACCACATTGCTACATGGACCATGGTCCACAGTAAAATTTGCATAGGTTTCTATAGTAGGCTCAAGCCTAATTTTATAAAGTTCGTCTCGGCTTGGCCAATTTTTATCAATTGGCTCAAATTTTGGTTTGATGATACCAAACATAATTTAAAAGTTAAGTCCCCAAATTCGTTTATTTTTCTAAACTTAGGCATTTTTCGATTGTAAATTCGAAAGGTTTACTTAGAGGATGGACTTTACTAATAGGAAAATTAAAAATCGAAAAGTAACCCTAAGATAATTTAGTTTCGGAAGACTAGAACAGTAACTTCAGAAAGGTTAATCTTTGAGAAGTTAGTTCCAAAAAGCTGAAGATACGAGAAGTTGAAGACTGAAGACTGAAAAATTGAAGACAATGAGCCTGAAGACTAGAAGGTTCAATGACCAAAAAATTAGAGGGTCACCCTTAACTAGAAAATTGAGAATATGGAAAGCTAACTAAAACGAAAAGTTAACTTTCGAATAGTAATCTACCATGGGTTATTATTATTGTTGTTGTTGTTGTTTTTGTTAATTGTTATTGTTATTATTGATCATTATTCTCATTATTCTTATTATTCTTATTATTCTTATTATCAATATCATTAATTATTATTATTATTATTATTATTATTATTATAATTATTATTATTATTATCATTGATGGGGTGAGGACCCCGGCCCAAGAAGAAGGGCCCAAGAGAGAGGGGCCCACGAGAGAAGTGGCCCAAGATAGAAGATAAGGGCTAGTAAAAGAAGAAGCCCGATGGTGGCCTGGGCCGAGTCTAGGAGTCGGCCCGGGCCCAAGTAAGAAAGGAGACTCGGCCCAGGAGCCAGTAAGAAACATACAAGTCGGTCTAAAAGCCGTTGATAGAGCACTCAATGCAGCATTCAAGAGGACTCGATCCAACGGGCCGGTAGGGGGCCAAGGAGCCGTTGGTCGACTCAGTAACAGCGGCCGAACGGTCTTATAGTGTAATTAGCCTTGAAGTCGGTGTTTAATGTACTTCAATCCGGCTGGAGAGGAGCCTACTATATAAAGGCCCCTCCACACTTGTAAGAGTGAGGCGAGTCCAGGCCCAGAGAATAGACACACACACTTCCTCAACATTCGATTATCCATCTTTGCGATCACTTTTTTAAGAAAGGTGAATCACCAACCACAGGTTTTGTTGGACCTCCTTGGGCCCGAAAACCCAAAAACCAACACCGACGTCATCCGTGGGGATTGAAACAAAGAGCTACGTGACTCTCTGAGCAGGGCGAGTCCCAAAGTCGACCGAAGAAGCGTCGTGAACATGTCGGAAGGACGAGACCAAGCGAACAACCGAAACGACGGAATAGAGGCAGATCTAAGAGATCAGTTGAACCAACGAAATGCTCAAAGTCAAGGAAACGAAACGGCACCGGTGAACCGGCAGCCGCCCATGATACCCCTCACCCCGGAATAACTCCACGCGATCGGGCGAGCCTTCGCCGACGCGAGTCGAGGAGTGAGGGAGCAGTCGGTTTCTCGGCCGATGCCTCGCAATCATCAACCGTCCCAGAGGCCAGAAGACGGACGGGAAAATCGACGGGCAGAGAGCCAGCCAGTACGATCAGTCCATTCAAGGCTGGGTCCGAATGCAGGACGGCAGCCTGCACGAGAACGACTAGGAGAAAGGGAGCCCAGTCGCGCACCAGCAGGGCCCAGAGATCGGGAAACCGGTCGGGAGAGAGCTCGCACCAGGAGAACTAAGACTCTGGCACGACGGACCGAGCGCATAACGCGCAATGATGACCAACCGGCTGAATCAGAGGTCGGCGAAAGTACGGAGTCCACAGGAAACCACACTCGCAATGAAGGCGACGTGGCCCAATTGGCCCAAGAGGTACGAGATCTGAAAGAACAAATGGGGGGTAAGACCAAATCCCCCGGGCAGACGTTGCTCACCGTCTTGCCATTCTCTTCCGAGATCACCCCCGAAACAAGCCACCTTCGACGGATCTGGAGATCCACGCGAGCATCTGCTTAGCTATCAGGCCAAAATGCAGGTATTGGGAGTGCGAGACCCTGTGATGTGTCGCGCCTTCTTGCCCAAACTGAAAGGCTCGGCACAAAGGTGGTTAGTGGCGCTGCCTCCTAAGTCAATTCACAGTTTCGAGGAGTTAGCCGACCGCTTCATGAACCATTACGCGGCCAACATCAAGCCACAGAAGGATCTGACTCACCTGGGAGATGTCCACCAAGAGGAAGGCGAGTCCCTGAAAACCTACTTGGTTCGATGGCAAAAGGAGATTCAGTCTATCGAGGAGGTCGAAGATCAGACCGCACTCACTTTTTTCATCGAGTCTTTACGATCCGGGCAGTTGTATCGAGATCTGCGGGATAACCGCCCGACTACCTACGCGGAAGCCATACACATGGCCAATAAAAGGGCTAACACGGAGCAGACCATAAAGCATAAGCGACAACGCGAAGTCGGAGGGTCCGTCGGAGGAAAGAGGACCCGTGCGGAAACCAAGGAAAGGCGCCCGGAAGGGGCTCGGCGACCCGAGGCTAGACGTCCCTATGACAAGCCTATGGTCCATCCCTACAGAGCGGTTCCTCAGCACCCGGTGCATGAGGTTCAAGCGGTCGCTCCGCCCCTGCCCCCGCCGATCGACGAGCATGCGACGAGTGAAGAATCAGGTAAGAACTCTAAGTACTGCCGCTATCATAAGTCTTACACTCATAGTACGGAAGAGTGCTTCTACTTGAAAAAGGTCATGGAAGGAATCATCCAGCAAAGGACCCCGCCTCCTAATCAGTGGAGGCGAAGGTCAGTAGCACGAGAGGACGATGATCTCGCGGTCACCGCCGAGAATAGCCGTGGCAAGCGGTCGGCCACTGAGGAGGATGAGGCCCAGTGGCGTCAAAAGCCAGTCATTAACATGATAGTCGGCGGACCAGAAGGCGGCGACTCGGCGAATACCAGAAAGGCCTGGGCTCGACAACTATACGTCGGGACGGTATACGGGCGTGGGGAAAGCTCGAAGAAAGCGTGCCGAGAGCCGATCACGTTCACGACAAAGATTTGCCCACGGGAGAGACACCGCATCGGGATGCGCTGGTCATAGCAATGGACGTGAACGGAGTGGTCGTTCGGCGAATCCTGGTCGACACCGGAAGCAGTGTCAATGTACTATACCTCGACACTTTCACAAAGATGGGATTGACTCAAGAACAGCTGAATCCAGTCAAGACACCACTCGCCGATTTCACGGGAGACTCGGTAGAAGCAGAGGGGTCCATCACCCTGCCAGTGGAAGTCGGCAGCTATCCCGACGTGCAGAAGCTCAGCATGAAATTCATCGTGGTGAACTTAGTCTGCTCACAGAATGCTATACTCGGCCGACCGGCCTGGAGGATTTGGGAGCACTGATCTCCATCGAGCACCTTTGCTTGAAGTTCCGCACGCCGAACGGGATAGGAACGGTGCGTTGCGATAGAAGAGTCGCCCGCGACTGCTACCTGCAAGCCTGTAAAGGGATGAGCAAACGTGGAATGCAAGTCCACGAGATCACGGAAAAGCCCCCAAAGAAAGCAATGATACCCCGCCCGGAACCAGCCGTGGAATTGGAAGAAATCGAAATCGACCCCGAACGGCCGGACAGGCGAGTCAGAATTGGTGTCGGTCTCCCCACGGAGACTCGAGAGGAAATTGTCCAAGTACTCCGAAAGCATCGGCTAGTATTTGCCTGGGGGCCAGAGGATATGCCAGGTGTCGACAGGTCCATCATCGCCCACCGACTCGCCGTCGATCCGGACCATCGGGCAGTCGTGCAGAAAAAGCGATATCTCGCCAATGACCGGAGGGAATTCGTAAAGAAAGAGGTGGGCACGCTGCTAGTCGCGGGTCACATCCGAGAGGTCAAATATCCGGAGTGGTTGGCGAACGTAGTCCTCGTGCCGAAACCCCCAGCATGGCGAATGTGCGTGGATTACACTGATCTTAACAAGGCCTGCCCAAAGGATCCGTTCCCCTTGCCACGGATTGACCAGCTGGTCGACGAGACAGCTGGGTCGGCTCTGCTGAGCTTTATGGACGCCTTTAGGGGATATCATCAGATTTTCATGCACTCGACCGACGAGGAAAAAACCGCGTTCCTTACATCGGACGGGGTGTATTGTTACCGAGTTATGCCCTTCGGACTCAAGAATGCTGGGGCCACTTATACTCGGATGGTAGCTCGGCTATTCCAAGACTTACTGGGCAAATCCATGGCGGCCTATGTGGACGACATGTTGGTCAAAAGCAAAGAAGAGGCCAAACACGCGGAAGATTTGGCCGACTGCTTCCAAGTGATGCTAAGGTATAATCTCCGACTGAACCCGAAGAAATGTGCATTCGCGGTACAAGGCGGAAAGTTCTTAGGATACATGGTGACTAAACGATGCATCGAGCCCAACCCGGAGAAGGTCCAGGCCATCATCGATATGCAACCTCCCAGCACCGTCAGAGATCTGCAATGGTTAACTAGTCGACTGGCTGCCCTCAGTCGCTTATTAAGTAAGGCGGTGGACAAAACTGTACCATTCTTCGAGGCAATGAAGAAGAAGGAAGGCTTTGCCTGGACGACCGAGTGCCAGCAATCATTCGAGGAACTAAAGCAGTATCTTTCCACACCACCGATGTTGTCCACCCCACGGGAGGGTGAGCCTTTGTTTTTATACTTGGCCGCTTCCCCCAAGGCGGTGAGCTCGGTACTGGTTCGGGAAGAAGAGCGTGCCCAGCACCCGGTATACTACGTAAGTCGCTCCTTAAAGGCCGCCGAGACACGGTACGCAGCCTTAGAGAAGATTGTCTATGCACTGGTAATCACCGTACGCAAGTTAACACCCTATTTCCAAGCTCATACTGTCCGGGTACAGACCGACCAGCCGCTGGGGAGCGTACTACGAAATCCCGCGTCGTCAGGGCAACTGGTAAAATGGGCCGTGGAATTAACCCAGTACGGGATTGAGTATCAACCGCGACCATCCATAAAAGGGCAAGCCTTGGCTGATTTCCTGGTCGAATGCACGGCGGGGGAAGAGGAAAAAGAGCACACCACGGAAGACCGTTCAAGTGAGTGGTGGGAGATGCACGCGGATGGAGCGGCGAGTCGACAACACTGTGGAGGCGGAATCATGTTAATCACTCCAGAAGGATTCCAACTCTACTAAGCCCTGAGCTATCCGTTTCCGACGTCTAATAACGAAGCCGAGTATGAGGCTGTGTTGGGCGGCCTTCGACTCGCCAAAACTTTGGGCGTAGAACGACTGCGGATCAAAACTGACTCCCGGTTAGTGGTGGGACAAATTTCCGGCACCTGCGAAGCGAAGAACGCTCGGATGACCCAGTACAAGGAGAAGGCAATAGAAATGCTGAAGGAATTCGAAACATATGAAATAGAGCATATCTCTATTTCAGTACAAGGTTCCAGTGGAAGTCGTGGAGCCCACCTACCGAGTTCGCAGCTATTCCGACGAAGAGAACGAGGAAAGCCTTAGAATTGAAAAGAACTTTCTGGAAGAAAGAAGGGAGGTGGCGTGCGCCCGGATGGTCGAGTACCAACAAGCTGTAAAGAGGTATCGCGACCGGAGGATTCGCCCACGAGCCTTCCAGGTCGGCGACCTCGTGTTGCGGGACCGACAGGCAAGCCAGCCCACGGAAGGGGGCAAATTTGCAATTAAGTGAGAAGGACCATATCGCATTGCATCAGTGGTTCAGGCCGATACCTACAAGCTCGAAACCCTGGAAGGAAAACCCATAGACCGATTCTGGAACGTCGTCCATTTGAAGAAATTCTACCAATAAAGAGGTTAGACATGTACTCGAGTTTTCAAATCTAATAAAAGGGCACCTTTTATCCTCGATCGTTGCCCTCCACTCGGCGAGAAAAGATAGGAAACAAGGGCCCAAACCCTTAGTCGTTTCCGAGAAAAAGAGTCGCCTCGACTGAGGGACTCGGCGAGTATATAAAGAAAAAATGGGGCACTAACCCTAAACCGTTTCTAAGAAAAGAAAAAGCCTAAGGAGTCGCCTCAACTAAAGGACTCGGTAAGAACAGATGGGAAACAAGGGCCCAGACCCTTAGTCGTTTCCGGGAAAAAGCCAAAAGGAGTCGCCTCGACTGAGGGACTCGGCGAGTATATAAAGAAACAATGGGGCACTGAACCTAAACCGTTTCTATGAAAAGAAAAAGCCTAAGGAGTCGCCTCAACTGAGGGACTCGGCAAGAACAGATGGGAAACAAGGGCCCAGACCCTTAGTCGTTTCCGAGAAAAAGCCAAAAGGAGTCGCCTCGACTGAGGGACTCAGCGAGTATATAAAGAAACAATGGGGCACTGACCCTAAACCGTTTCTAAGAAAAGAAAAAGCCTAAGGAGTCGCCTCAATTGAGGGACTCGTCAAGAACATATGGGAAACAAGGGCCCAGACCCTTAGTCGTTTCCGAGAAAAAGCCAAAAGGAGTCGCCTCGACTGAGGGACTCGGCGATTATATAAAGAAACAATGGGGCACTGACCCTAAACCGTTTCTAAGAAAAGAAAAAGCCTAAGGAGTCGCCTCAACTGAGGGACTCGGCAAGAACAGATGGGAAACAAGGGCCCATACCCTTAGTCATTTCCGAGGAAAAGTCAAAAGGAGTCGCCTCGACTGAGGGACTCGGCGAGTATATAAAGAAACAATGGGGCACTGACCCTAAACCGTTTCTAAGAAAAGAAAAAGCCTAAGGAGTCGCCTCAACTGAGGGACTCGACAAGAATATATGGGAAACAAGGGCCCAGACCCTTAGTCGTTTCCGAGGAAAAGCCAAAAGGAGTCGCCTCAACTGAGGGACTCAGCGAGTATATAAAGAAACAATGGGGCACTGACCCTAAACCGTTTCTAAGAAAAGAAAAAACCTAAGGAGTCGCCTCAACTGAGGGACTCGGCAAGAACAGATGGGAAACAAGATCCTTGATCACGGAAGTCCAACAAAGTGGAAGAACTCAAGGCCTTAAGTTACTTCTTGGGATCCAAAAGCAGAAAAGAAATAAGGGCAGTCGAAAGGAGAAAAAAAAGATTTCATTAATAAAAAGGCCCGAGAAGGGGGGCCAACCCATACAAAAGAAGGCTACCAGATGGAAAGCCCTAAACTACGGGGGAAGGGGTGTCGACATCAACTTCCTCGACCAGAGCTTCTGCCGATGGTCCAGCTGGAAGGACGAGTGAGGAGTCTTCCGCCTGAGTAGGCGGCTCTGCAAGCTCTGAAGGCTCTGCCACAAGGAGAGCCACCGGATCTACAGGCTCCGCCACAGGAGGAGCTGCCGGATCTGCAGTCGACGCGGGCTCAGCAGTCGCCGACAGGAGGTCTAGCACTGGCTTGAGGCCCCAGCTCTCGGGAGTGAAGGCGGGATCTCGGGCCAGTAGGGCGGCATAGGTTTCCGTCTGAGCCTCGCAGAAACCGAGGCGATAGTCACGCTCGCCCAAGTCAAGGAGATAGTCATCTCCCTCCATCGTCGCCAGCCACTCCTGGGCGATCTACTTCTGCCGGGCCGCCACCGCCGCCTTCACATCCGCCTCGAAGGCCGCCGACTTCTTGTAATCCTCCACCGAAGTCGCAGCGATGGTCGCGACCTTGTCCCGCTCCTCCTCCCACTGACGAGTGACCCTCAGCAGATCGGAGGTATGCACCTCCACCGACTTGGCATGCTTAGCCTGCTCTTCCAGGCGAGCTTCCTCTGTTTGACGCAGTCGAGTGGAAAGAGACTGGAGCCCCGTCTTGTAACCCCTCAGTCGCCTGCTCATCTCCATCTGGAAGGTGAGATTCTACAAGGACAAGAGAGATCAGATAAAGAAGAATAAAGGACAAGAAAGACGACGAGTCGGAAACACTTACGCGGTACGATTGGCGAAGCGAGGCGTCGAAGATGTACTCGTCTGGCATTGCGCCGGTCATCTCCACGTCCTTAGGAAGAAGAACGTGGTCGGCGCATCCGATTGCTCGACTGGCCGCTTAGAGCTTGGGCTCTAAGACGGCGGAGGAGGCGGCATTCGGGAAGGTGAGGCGACGGGTGACGGCGTCAGGTCCACCACGGTACGTGGTGGTG